CCTCATGGTTAGGTCACAGCAGTGTTTGACCTAGTAGAATGTCGTTGTCAGCCAAGGGGAAGAATTTTTAAATTAATGTCACAATTTAAGACCCTCTCTCTGATTGGCCCTTGGTGTTTCAAAGAGTATCTGGATTGGAAAGGTACTGGATTATTTGCTGAGACTATTACTGGTGGCCCTGGTTTGTGGGTGATGCAGGTAATTCAAGATCCACCACACAACTTTTTCTACTCGTCAGAGGGGTTTTCAGGAGGAATCCAGGGTGCCCCCTTGAAAGCCCTGCAGTGCAGTGACCCTTGCGCCACTCAAACAGGACTGGATGCAGCTCCAGGAGGAACCATCTGGTTCCATTCCACAAAGCCCTTCCTGCCCTGCTGACGCAGGATGCTTGGAACTCGGATGCCTCGCATGGCTCTATTGGAGTCATGGCTTGACAAAGCCCTGGCTGGGGTGATTTAGTTGGGGATTGGTCCTGCTTTGAGCAGGGGGTTGGACTAGATACCTCCTGAGGTCCCTTCCAACCCTGAGATTCTATGATTCTATGATTGCTCCAGCTGATCCCAAAAGCCAGTCTGGTCAGGGGCCTAACCCCAGCCGCACCTTTGGATTGAGCCAGTGACAGATTGTTTTATGTTGCAGAATTTGCAGCGCAGGGGACACCTAGCGTTGGATATCAACTGATAATTAAAGGGTGCTTGCTTCGTGCGGCACTCCACCAGCTCAAGCAAGCCCGTGACAGCAGCCCTTCCCGTCTGCCCCCCTCACCTGCACGGGTCTTCTCCTCAAACTCCTCTGCTGCAAGTGCCCGGCGCCCCAGCAAACGCTGCTTCAGGTTAAAGCGGTGCCAGTCCAGGCGGTAATGCTCAGTCTGGGAAGGAAACGGAGTGAGAAGGGGCCTCCCATACTGATAATCCCCCAGGTCGGATGAATGGAAGCGCACCAACCCATGCCCCGGGACTGGACAGTGCGGAGGTCCCCTCAGCCAGATGCCAGCCTGCCGGGGACTTGGGAATCAGCAGAAGCTGCCTTGCTTTATTGGCACGTCATGGTCACTTGGTTAGCTGATGCCCTTAGCGCCAAGTTCCCACCCTGCCCTCAGGGTTGCAGGGCCTTGGCACCAGCTTTCTGGCCCAGGGCTTTGCAGCGTGTGGAAGCTGGTAATGTGGCTATGCCAGAGCTCCCAGACCCTGCCCAGCTGAGAGATGCAGCCGCAGTTTACCAGGGGCCTGAGGAATGCACTTGACTGGCTTAAAAAAGAATCAATTGCAGCCTCCCCTCGTTCTGTGGGTGCGGCTGATGGAGACTACAAATCCCAGCGTGAAATACTCCACCTTGTGCCAAGTGGGTAAGCCCAAAATGGAGCACTGCATTTCAGGACCAGTAGTCTCTGGGCTGCATCTCCACGTACCCAGGCCACAACTGCAGATCTCCATGGTCCACATTTCGGCCATTCACATACCCATTTCACACAACCCGGCTTCCCCAGCTGCCTGCTCGCCCACAGCACTGCCTGCTGGGGGCAATGGAAAACACACCACCCCTCCGCCTCCACCCCCGAGGCTGCTGCCTACCTGCTCCTCCCTGCTGTCAAACACCCGGGAGCAGGCTGAGCAGCACATCCGGTCCGATATCTCTGGGACCCCTCGGGCTCTCTCCTCCCTAATGGCCACCACTAGCTTCTCTGAAAGAGGGAGAGGAGCTCAGGGAAGATAAGCCACTTCCATTGGAGAGGGACAGAGGGCTACAGGACAGACAGATCACTCCAAAGTGTGGCTAGAGCAAACTGTGAAGAGTCAGTTTGACTGTTCCTGACTCTGCCACTCACTTTATGCATGGCCCTGGGCAAGTTACTGCACCTCTGTGCCTCAGTTTCCCCACCTGTAACACAGGGGATGATACCGACCCACCAAACAGGATTAGTTTCAGTGTGCGTGTGAAGTGTTTTGCGCTCCTCAGGCTGAAGGCTCTTGACTGGGGTAAAGCAGCTCAAACCAGAGCCCATCACCCCACCAAGCCCCAGAGAGTGGGATACCTCTTAGTATTGGACTGCAGCAAAATCCCCCCACTGGACACTCTCCCACCCTCCCCCAGGAAGCCCCTCCGCTGGCTCCACTACCCCTCTAGCCAGCTCACTGGCTTTTATGCACTACCTTGCGTTATGGCATTAGAGTCTATGGACCGCACGTCCTCTGAAACGCCATTGACGAGGGAGAGTCCATGCAGGAAGGTGGGGTCCTGGGCAGCCTCAAACACAGACCTGACCTCGAGGGGCTGCATTGTTTCCAGCAGGAGTCTGAAGAAGGAATGAGAGTGAGGCAGAGAGAGCCATCGACAGGCTCCCGTGCCCTGTGACTTGGCACCCGTGACCTGGCAGGGGATGGGCAGTTGTGCCGCACCATTAGCTGGAAGAAAAGGAGGACTTGTGGCACCTTAGAGACTAACCAATTTATTTGAGCATAAGCTTTCGTGAGCTACAGCTCACTTCATCGGATGCATACTGTGGAAAGTACAGAAGACGTTTTTATACACACAAACCATGAAAAAATGGGTGATTATCACTACAAAAGGCTGGGGGCTGCCGTGAGGAGGGGGAGGGCTGATGGGGGGGAGGGCTGTATTGATGGGGGTTCTGGGCAGATGGGGTGAGTGCTGGGAGGGTGAACTGAGGGTAGTGGGAGGCAATGGGGGAGGGGGACTGAACTGAGGGGCACTGAAGGGGGGTTGGGTGAGGAGAGAACTGGTGGGGGGCTGGGGGACAGGATAAAGTGCTGGGCAGGAGACTGCAGATGTGGGGGTGAGAGCTCATTAGCTGGGGGACACGGGGCAAAGAGCCCGCAGTGCTGCTCTTGGTGATGGAGGTTCCCCTCCAGGACAGGGCTGCTGGCTTTGGAGCGAAAGGTCCCAAGTTCTATCACTGCGGCCATGTGACCGCCGAGTGCCTGGGGAGCCTGCCACGGGCTGCGCCACGGACACCAGGCACCAACCACATCATGACCCCGCCGCAGACGTGCCAACTCTTGGGGAAGAGAACGCTCACATGGCAGGATGATTCTTTCCAGTCAAACAGGAGTTACCCGCCCTGGACAAAGGAATGCGGTTTCTCCACCAGGCAGCTAATTACAAAGTACTTTGAAAGACAATGAGAATTCATTTACACCTCTGATAAACAAAGCTGTCAACCTAACAAGAGACAGGAGCCGACACTCCAGCAGGGAAGAGAAAATTCATCTGGGGGGGGCCCCCTCCACAACCCTCAAATAAGCAATTGAATCAACTAGAAAAAAATGAGAGTTCTAAAAGTGAGGCTTAATTTTATTTAGAAATCCTGTCAGCCACCCCGGGCCTGAGCAGGGCTTTGGCTGTCAGCCCAGGCGGCTGCTCCCCTGCTAGCCTGGGAAGTGGGAGAGGGGACCCCACTGCAGCCCTGCCCCCCTCCCCGAGGTCTGGAGAGGGTGAAGAACCCTAAGGAGCAGAGGTGAGGCTGGGGGCTGCCATGAGGAGGGGGAGGGCTGATGGGGGGAGGGCTGTATTGATAGGGGGGTTCTGAGCAGATGGGGTGAGTGCTAGGAGGGTGAACTAAGGGTAGTGGGAGGCAATGGGAGAGGGGGACTGAACTGAGGGGTGCTGAAGGGGGGGTTGGGTGAGGAGAGAACTGGTGGGGGCTGGGGGACAGGATAAAGTGCTGGGCAGGAGACTGCAGATGTGGGGGTGAGAGCTCCTGCAGCTGGGTTTCGGGGCGAGCCGTGTCAGTCTGTATCCACAAAAACAACGAGGAGTCCGGTGGCCATATCCAGCCCGTGTGGGGGAGCGGGCGACACTAATTGCCCCACACACGCACCTTGGGAAGGGGTGCGAGGGGGGTTTCAAACACCACGAGACTGGCCGAAAACACACAATTAAATCTGGGTTTAAATGTCGCCATTTGGGGGCCAATCTCCGGGTTCCTGAGGGTCCGACGCACGATTGTCGATCTCCTGAAGGCGGCAATGCAGTTAGAGGGGTCAGCGCAGGCCAGGACAGGCCACGGGGACCTTGTGCCCTGACTGCCCAGCAGAGCCTGGAGGATCCCGCCCCCCCCCCATTGGCCAGGGGGACCCAGGAGACCCCGCCCCCCCCCCATTGGCCAAGGGATCCCGTCCCCCCCATTGGCCAGGGGGACCCAGGAGACCCTGCCTCCCCCCATTGGCCAGGGGGACCCAGAGGACCCCGCCCCCCCCATTGCCCAGGGGGACCCCGCCCCCCCATTGGCCAGGGGGACCCCGCCCCCCCATTGGCCAGGGGGACCCAGAGGACCCCCCCCCCCATTGGCCAAGGGATCCCGTCCCCCCATTGGCCAGGGGGACCCAGGAGACCCCGCCTCCCCCATTGGCCAGGGGATCCCCACCCCCCATTGGCCAGGGGACGAGAGACCCAGAGGCCCCCCCCATTGGCCAAGGGATCCCGCCCCCCCCATTGGCCAGGGGGACCCAGGAGACCCCGCCCCCCCCATTGGCCAGGGGGACCCCGCCCCCCCATTGGCCAGGGGATCCCAGGAGACCCCGCCCCCCCCCATTGGCCAGGGGGACCCCGCCCCCCATTGGCCAGGGGGACCCAGGAGACCCCGCCCCCCCCATTGGCCAGGGGATCCCACCCCCCCATTGGCCAGGGGGACCCAGAGGACCCCGCCCCCCCCATTGCCCAGGGGGACCCCGCCCCCCCATTGGCCAGGGGATCCCACCCCCCCCATTGGCCAGCCCTTCCCGACCGTGCCCCGCGCGGGGCCAGAGGGGCCCTGCCCCCCGAAGGCCGCGAGGGCGGCGCTCACCTGTCCCGGGGGGAAGCGAAGCGGGTAGCGCCTCACCCGGAAGCCAACGGCAGCCGCGCAGGACGTCACATCCGCCCCACGACGGAGCGCCGTCGGGGACAACCCTGTAGCCCCGCCCCCGCCGCCTCTCACCCTCCCTCGGATTGGCCCCCGCGGTCCCGCCCACAGGCGCCGATTGGCCGCCGGAGCCGCCCGTTCGGAGGTAGTGACACAGGAGGCGGCGGCCCGGCCTGGTGCAGGGAGGGGGCGGCTGGGGCCGGTTACCGGGGAGACCGGCAGGTGAGGGGGGGTCCCCGCCGAGAACCCAGGAGTTCGGCCGGGCTCGGCCCGGGGCCGCAGGGTCCCGGCCCGAGCCCCCCCCCGGTCGAGGGGCGGCCCCGGGCCGGGGGGGCTGGTCCTGCTCCCCCCCCTTGACCTTCCGCCCCCGGCCGGGGGGGGGGGCTGGTCCTGCTCCCCCCCCGCCCTGACCTTCCCCCCTCCCCGGTCGAGGGGCGGCCCCGGGCCGGGGGGGCTGGTCCTGCTCCCCCCCCTTGACCTTCCCCCCCCTCCCGAGGGGCGGCCCCGGGCCGGGGGGGGCTGGTCCTGCTCCCCCCCTTGACCTTCCCCCCCCTCCCGAGGGGCGGCCCCGGGCCGGGGGGGCTGGTCCTGCTCCCCCCTGCTCTGACCTTCCCCCCCCCCCCGAAGGGGCGGCCCCGGGCCGGGGGGCTGCTCCTGCTTCCCTCCCCAACTTCCCCCCTCCCGAGGGGCGGCCCCGGGCCGGGGGGGCTGGTCCTGCTCCCCGCCCTTGACCTTCCGCCCCCGGCCGGGGGGGGCTGGTCCTGCTCCCCCCCCTGCTCTGACCTTCCCCCCCCCGAGGGGCGGCCCTGGGCCGGGGGGGGCTGGTCCTGCTCCCCGCCCTTGACCTTCCGCCCCCGGCCGGGGGGGGGGCTGGTCCTGCTCCCCCCCCTGCTCTGACCTTCCCCCCCCCGAGGGGTGGCCCCGGGCCGGGGGGGGCTAGTCCTGCTCCCACTCCCTCTGACCCTGCCTCCTCCCCGCAGGGCCTGGCGGGCCGGCGCCATGGCACACTTCGACACGGAGTACCAGCGCCTGGAGGCCTCCTACAGCGACTCGCCGCCGGGCGAGGAGGATCTGCTGGTGCACGTCCCCGAGGGCAGCAAATGTGAGCAGGGCCCGGGGCCTGGTCTCTGACACGCCCGGCGGGGCAGCTCCCCTGGGTCGGGGCGAGGGGCAGAGCGGAACGCCCCCGTCTCCCAAGCCCTTCCGTGGGGCGGGGGATCCTCTCGATGCCCCTAGCTATTGGCCACTGCTGCAGGCCAGACGCCGGGTCTGATCCGGCGTGGGGACTCCTATTCCTTGCCCTGTGTAAGCGCAGTAGCCGCCCTTTTGAGCCTGGGCCCCAGTCGGGGGCGACTGCGGGGCCCCAGCCCACTCCGTGCCCTGGGTTGTGTCACGAGAATAACTAGCCAGTGGCAACCAACTGACCCCCCTCGCTGGGCAAACCACCACGTAGCGAGCCCCAGTCACCCCCTTTGCCTCCTCTCTCTCCTGCAGCTCCTTGGCATCACATAGAGAACCTGGACCTCTTCTTCTCTCGCATATCCTTGCTGCATGCCGGGGGGGGGTGGCTGCTCCAGCCCTAGCAGGATGGTCAGGCCAGCATCAGCTTGACACAGTTCGTCCATCTGGCGCAGATCGGAGTTGGAATAGTCGGCGCACGTCCCGTCTCCTCTGGGTTGGGTTGCTCCCTGCCCTGTGGAGTCCAAACAGGCCAAGCAGAGGCGTTGCCACCCCTTCCCTTGTTGGAGAGGGTTGTAGGGGGACAGAAACGGGTCTCTCCAGCCCTTTGATGATGGCCTCCTGGCCATTCTTTGTCGCTCTGATTGTTAGGCTCTGGATATGTCTTTACCTCCCTCTGTGCTGGCCAGGTCCTGCCCTTGCAGACTTTAGAGAGGGCTCCGGGGGGCTGGTCTGTGACTGGAGTGTTCACAATCCCCTGCTGGGTGTGGTGGGGGGTTGGGTTTCTGTGACAGGCTAGCATTACCCTCAGCCTGGGACAGGCATGGAGTCTGGACCCACCAGCATTTTGTAGCTGAGCAGAGAGTACACTTGCTTGGCAGCCTCTGTCCTGACTGGTGGCTAGGGGGTGGCTTGGCATGGGAGAGGTTTTCTCTCGACTGGTGGCCGGAGAGGAGGGGTTGCCAGGCTGTTCTCCTTGACTGCAGCTCCCACGTCTATAATCTGCATCAGAAGAACGGCTTCACCTGCATGCTGATTGGCGAGATCTTTGAGCTCATGTATGTCTGGAGTCCCCCTGCTCTGGGGGTGGGGATGCCGGGGAGGCGGCAGGTTCTCTCCATGCTCTCGCTGCCATTGGGGTGAAGGGCCTTGTTCCCTTGGGCCCCAGCATTCCCGCTATCCCTGCACAGCCATGGCTGAGAGTTGGGTTTCAAGAGGTGAGGTGGGAGGTGGTCAGGCCACTCCCCTTTCAATCAGGACCTGTCTCCCTCTCTCCCCCCACTCTTTTTTGGCCATCTCCATCCCCAGGAAGATCCCCTCGTCATGCCACGGACAGTGGGATGTAACCTAGTAGCCACTCCTGGCTGTGGTATATTAGGAGTTGGGGGCAGGAGGAGGGGAATCCCTCTGGGCTGCCCTTCATGGCTGCTGCCTTTCCCACAGGCAGTTCATTTTTGTGGTGGCCTTCACCACCTTCCTCGTCAGCTGCGTTGACTACGACATCCTGTTTGCCAACAAGATGGTGAATCACAGCCAGCTCTCCAGCGAGCTTGTCAAGGTGACGCTGCCAGATGCCTTTCTGCCTCCCAGCATGTGCAGCGCAAGGTAAGGGCAGCAGCCACACCTCTTCCCCCAGTCCTGGCAGCCTGCCACCCTCCAAAGGCCATGTTAGTGCGAGCTCCCTCTTTGCCCATTTCCAGACGGGAGCTAAAGATCCAGTGGGAGTGGCCAAACCTTACCCATGGCAGCCCTTGCCCTCATCATCGGTAGAGGCATGTAGCCTGCCAAGATTGCAAGTCACTGGTTTGTCTTGGTCTGAGTGGCCAAGCTGCATTGTATTCTGGGTCATGTAATCGCCAGGAGATGCGTCTCTGGGTATGTGCTTAATGGCAGGGTTGCTGTGTGCTGTTACACAGCTGGTGCATCCCTCCCCAGCTGTGGCTACGTTCTGGTGGTGGGTGAAGCGATCCCTTGACAGTGTGTATAGCTTGGGCTCCTGTGGGATGAGGCTCTGCTGTGGGGCATGCCTTCTAATTGCTTTCTATGACGAGATAACTGGCTCTGTGGATGAGGGGAAAGTGGTGGACATGTTGTTCCTTGACTTTAGCAAAGCTTTTGACACGGTCTCCCACAGTATTCTTGCCAGCAAGTTAAAGAAGTATGGGCTGGATGAATGGACTATAAGGTGGATAGAAAGCTGGCTAGGTCATCGGACTCAACGGGTAGTGATCAATGGCTTCATGTCTAGTTGGCAGCCGGTATCAAGTGGAGTGCCCCAAGGGTCGATCCTGGGGCTGGTTTTGTTCAATATCTTCATTAATGATCTGGAGGCTGGCTGTACTGACACTAAACTGGTAGATACGTTGGAGGGTAGGGACAGGATACAGAGGGACCTAGACAAATTAGAGGATTGGGCCAAAAGAAATCTGATGAGGTTCAACAAGGACAAGGGCAGAGTCCTGCACTTAGGACGGAAGAATCCAATGCACCGCTACAGACTAGGGACCGAATGGCTCGGCAGCAGTTCTGCAGAAAAGGACCTAGGGGTGACAGTGGACGAGAAGCTGGATATGAGTCAGCAGTGTGCCCTTGTTGCCAAGAAGGCCAATGGCATTTTGGGATGTATATGTAGGGGCATTGCCAGCAGATGGAGGAACGTGATCGTTCCCCTCTATTCGGCATTGGTGAGGCCTCATCTGGAGTCCTGTGTCCAGTTTTGGGCCCCACATTACAAGAAGGATGTGGAAAAACTGGAAACCAGACTCCAGCGGAGGGCAACAAAAATGATTAGGGGGCTGGAACACATGACTTATGAGGAGAGGCTGAGGGAACTGGGACTGTTTAGTCTGTAGAAGAGAAGAATGAGGGGGATTTGTTAGCTGCTTTCAACTACCTGAAAAGGGGCTCCAAAGAGGATGGATCTAGACTGTTCTCAGTGGTAGCAGATGACAGAACAAGGAGTAATGGTCTCAAGTTACAGTGGGGGAGGTTTAGGTTGGATATTAGGAAAAACTTTTTCACTGGGAGGATGGTGAAGCACTGGAATGGGTTACCTAGGGAGGTGGTGGAATCTCCTTCCTTAGAGGTTTTTAAGGTCAGGCTTGACAAAGCCCTGGCTGGGATGATTTAGTTGGGGATTGATCCTGCTTTGAGCAGGGGATTGGACGTGATGACCTCCTGAGGTCCCTTCCAACCCTGATATTCTATGATTCCATGCCAAAAGGGAAGCATTGCTGTGAATCTCTTCTCCCTTGCAGAATCCAGCAGAATGGATTTCTCATTTGCATCCTGGTGATAGCGGGGGTTTTCTGGATCCATCGACTCATCAAATTTATCTACAACATTTGCTGCTACTGGGAGATTCACTCCTTCTACATCAACGCTCTCAAAATCCCTATGGTGAGTGACCCTGGGGCTGGAGAAGTGGGCTGTTGTGGCTAAGCAGGGAGCTCCCGCTGCCTTCACCCCCCCAGCTCAGGGTTGCCTTGCTGAAGCTGTAGGAGAGGGGTTCACCCACCCATTGCCCTCAAGGGTTTTGGTCTCTCCCTCTTTCGGACTTCCTTTGCAAGTTAAGTAATCCTGTGTATCTCCTTACAGCTTGTTTTCAGGCAAACCTGCCCCTGCACGCTGTGTGTGTCTGGGTGTGTCGTGGGACAGCTCTGTTCTGCTGACTATCTGCCAGCCAATCACTTTGCTTTATAACCTCTAGGCTTTTCTTTGCCACGCTCACAGCAGTGTCACAGCCTCAGAGGTGTAAAGCAGTTTATTCTCATGTCTTCCCCAGGAGGTGGGGCAGGATCTCTCTCCCCATGTACAGGTAGGGAAACTGAGGCATGGAGCAGCTAGGCGTTGCCCAAGGCCATGGGGGAGTCTGGCGGAGCTGGGTATTGAGCCCCAAGTCCCAGCCCAGGGTCTCCCTCAGAGAGAACTTGGATAAGTTGAGTAACAGCAGGATCCTTTACGTTAATTTTTGCGAGGCTATAAGGAATAGGCTATGAGGCTTTACGTTAATTTTTAATTTTACGTTAATAGGCTTTACGTTAATTTTTGTGAGGCTATGAGGCTATGTGGAATAGGCAAGGGCCTGGGACTCGAACACCTGGGTTCTCCTCCCAGACAGCTGCAAGCTCCCCATGGGGCACTGGGCATGTCCCATCACTTCTCTGTCTGGGAAGGGGGAAGCTATGAAGGGCTCGGAGCTCTCAGTGGGACGAGTGCCTCAGCGGGAACGGAGACATCGGCACGCCACCCTTTGCGTGCATGTGGCGATGACACGTGTAGTTCTCTAGCTCTTTCCTGCCAGCCCGGGTGGGGTGAATGAGGCTCCCCGCCCCCCCAAGGGCTGCGTTTATCCCTCATTGGGAACCCCAGAGCAGCACACAGCAAGCATCCTGCTGAGCAGGGTGCAGCATTGATGTGAGACGGAAACACCCAGCCTGCAGCACAGCCCGTGTCTGTGGCACGTTGGAGCAGTGCGTGCTGGGACCTGTAGTTTCTGTTGGCTGCTTTGTAGCGCTCCCCGTGCAGCACTTACCCTGCAGGCCCCTGTTGGTCTTCCCCAGGTTCTAACACTGCCTCCTCTCCTCCCGGCCAGTCCAACCTGCCCTATTACACCTGGCAGGAGGTGCAGGCTCGCATTGTGCAGATCCAGAAGGAGCATCAGATCTGCATCCACAAGAAGGAGCTGACAGAGCTGGACATCTACCACCGCATCTTGCGTTTCAAGAACTACATGGTGGCCATGGTGAACAAGTCGCTGCTGCCCATCCGCTTCCACCTGCCCGGGCTGGGCGACACCATCTTCTACACCCGCGGCCTCAAGTACAACTTTGAGCTCATCTTCTTCTGGGGGCCCGGCTCGCTCTTTGAGAACGAGTGGAGCCTCAAGGCGGAGTACAAGCGGGGCGGCAACCGTCTGGAGCTGGCTGACAAGCTGAGCGCCCGCATCCTCTGGATCGGCATCGCCAACTTCATCCTCTGCCCCCTCATCCTCATCTGGCAGATCCTCTATGCCTTCTTCAGCTACACCGAGATCCTGAAGCGGGAGCCGGGCAGCCTGGGCGCCCGCTGCTGGTCGCTCTACGGCCGCTGTTACCTGCGCCACTTCAACGAGCTGGACCACGAGCTGCACTCGCGCCTCAGCAAGGGGTACAAGCCAGCCTCCAAGTACATGAACTGCTTCATCTCCCCCCTGCTCACCATCGTGGCCAAGAATGTGGCCTTCTTCGCCGGCTCCATCCTGGCTGTGCTCATCGCTCTCACCATCTACGACGAGGACGTGCTGGCCGTGGAGCACGTCCTCACCACCGTCACCCTGCTGGGTGTGGGCGTCACCATCTGCAGGTGAGAGGGGCCGGCGCCGCCCGCCTGCCCTGGGGGGAAGGGGGGAGGCCCTCTGCTCCCAGCCCCCCGGAGGCTGCAGATCTGTCCTGGGCCACAAGTGAAGATAAGTCTGCTTCGGGAGGCCCAGGCCTGGAAATGGGGAGCAGTGGGTCAGGCCAGGAGTGAGAGGCACTGGCAAAAATCTTTTGGGGGGGGGAGAAGAAGAGGCTGGGGCCAAAATCCTGGTGGGGGAGGGAGGATTGCATATCAGGACTGAGGGGCTTTGGCAGAGCTAGTGTGGGGCCCGTCTGGGGTGGCAGGGGGCTGCAGGCCGGGACTGAGGGGCACTGGCAGGGCTGGGAGTGAGCAGAGCTGGAGTAGCAGGAGGCTGCAGGTTAGGGCTGGGGTAGCTGGGGGTTGCGGATCGGGACTGAGGGGCACCGGCAGGGCTGTTGGAGAAGCTCTCGCAGCCCTTCTCTAGGCGTACTCTCCCCCCAGCATGAGACTCCAGGCTGGGGTTCTCTGGGAAGTGCTGCCCTTCCTATCCTTGTCCTGCTCCCCCTATAGGTCCTTCATCCCTGACCAGCACCTGGTGTTCTGCCCAGAGCAGCTGCTGCGGGTGATCCTGGCACACATCCACTACATGCCTGACCACTGGCAGGCCAACGCCCACCGCTACGAGACCCGGGACGAGTTTTCTCAGCTCTTCCAGTACAAAGCGGTGAGCCCGGCCGCTCTGGCTAGCTCGGAACCGGGGCGGGATTGGACTGGCTCCGGCGCTCAGCTAGGGGCACTCGCAGCGCCCAAGGGGGGCAGGGCTGGGGTCTCTGACACACGGGTGCCACCTCAGGGCCGCTGTCTGTCGGGCTGTGATGCCCAGAGAGGCTGGTGCATGCGAAGGGGGCGGGGCTGGGGCTGTGGGCCGTGTGTGTGATGGCTCAGCAGCTCCTGTGTGGTTCCCCAGAGCAAGGGACGTGGGTGTGTGGGTGGGGGACCATTGGTCAGCTGGGGGCAGAACACTGCGGGGGCGATGCTGACGTGGGGCTGCTGTTCCAGGAATGTTCCCTGGGCGGCCCCTCACAGTCACCGTGCAGCAGCCCCCTCGGCCTGCCCGGGCTGCTCTTGTCGCTGCCTGCTGAGCACCCACCTCTCCCTTCCCAGGTGTTCATCCTGGAGGAGCTGCTGAGTCCCATCGTTACCCCCTTGATCCTCATCTTCTGCCTGCGGCCCAAGTCCCTGGAGATCATTGACTTCTTCCGGAACTTCACCGTGGAGGTGGTGGGTGTGGGCGACACCTGCTCCTTCGCACAGATGGACGTGCGCCAGCATGGGCACCCGGCGGTAGGGCCTGCCTGCAGCATGGCATCTGCTGGCGCGTTCCCCCTCCCCTCCCCCTGCACATGGGGGGTCCTGCCTGTGGCTGGAACCGAGGCGTGGGCTGACATCACCCATGGAGTTCTGCCAAGCAGCCTGTAGTGAGAGAGATCTTACACGCTGCACCTCTGCAGCGGCTGCCAGCCCCAGAATACTTGAGGCCAGGCTGCGCCAATCAAGCTGAAGCGTTGCATGGTGGGACCTGTAGTCTCAGTGGGCTGTGTTGTTGCAATCTCATATCTAACATCTGGGCACGCTCTGTGGGGTGCCCTGTCCCTTGGGTGCATGAGCCCAGCTGGCCAGGTGAGGGCTTGTGCCCTGGAGTTGGGGCCCGTGATGCTGCCCCTTGGCCTTGGAAGGCCCTGGAGCTGGGCGTGCTTGGCTATGGCGCGCTTCTCCTCCAGCGAGCCGTGTCCCAGCGCCTGCGTGAGGCCGGAGCTGCAGCTGCTGCGGGGTTCCTGGTTTTGTGCGTTGATGGGTTTTGTGCAGCCTGGCCCTTTGGGGCTCCCCAGGCCCCCCGGTGGGTGTATAGCAGGCCCTGGGCGGGTCCAAGGCTGGGTGTGGAGTGGACCCCTCACCCCACCTGTGTGCTTTGCAGTGGATGTCAGCGGGAAAGACCGAGGCCTCCATCTACCAGCAGGCCGAGGATGGCAAGACTGAGCTGTCCCTCATGCACTTCGCCATCACCAACCCCAAGTGGCAGCCGCCCCGCGAGAGCACGGCCTTCATCGGCTTCCTCAAGGAGCGCGTGCTGCGCGACAGCAGCATGGCGCTGGCCCAGCAGGCCGTGCTGCCTGACAACGCCCTCTTCACCTCCATCCAGTCCCTGCAGTCAGAGTCCGAGGTGCCCCAGCTGCGGCGGTCATGCGTGGGCGGGAAAGGAAGGGCTCTGGTGCTCCAAGGCTGCCTGGAGGGCAGGGGTCTTGCAGTAGCCCCGCATTGTCTAGCTAGCCCAGCGGGGCTGGCTCAGGTGGCCGGTGCAGTGAGTTTCCTGGGTCTGAACTGGGGTTGGGTTTCCAGGGAGGGCTGGGCCCATCTCCGAGGGTGTCAGCATGTTCTGGCCTGTGATCAGGCAGGAGGGGCTGCCGTGGAGGGGTGAGGTGTTCTGGGGTTCTGCCCGGCAGCATGGGGGGCTATGGAATCTGGAGTGCCCCAGGGAGCTGGGTTGGGGAGTGGCCCTGTCCTGTTGTCTGGTGGCCTCCTGTCCAGGGTTGTGACTCCCCCACTTCTCACTGCAGCCTCACAGCCTGATTGCCAACGTGATCGCGGGCTCCTCGGCCCTGGGGTACGCAAGCCACGAGCTGCAGGCCTCCCGCCAGCTCTCCGAGGTGGCTTCTGCCCTGCGCTCCTTCTCCCCACTGCAGTCAGCCCAGCAAAGTCACAGCAGCTTCCAGACGTCTGGGTCCCATGTGGAGGGGGCACCGCCCCGGGCCCACAGCACCATGACGGCTTCCGGGTAAGAGTCTGCTGAGCTGCGCCAGGCACCTACTCGGTGATCAGAGACCTTGCGAAGCCCAGGCCCTGCTCTTGAGGTGCTGGGTGCCCCTCGTGTGCCTGAGATCGAAGGGATTGCTCCCCTGGGCCCATGCTGCCCCTGGGCACTGCCGGGAGCAGCTCACAGCGCCTCCTGCTGGCACACTCTGCGGTCCGTTCCTCGCCCACGAGCCTGGGGATGAGTCCCTGAAGGGGCGGGGAAACTGGGCTGCTCTGAGCCCTCCCCTGCAATGGAGCAGGTTACACAGATGACTAGAACAGGAATTGCCCCGAGGGCTGGCTCCTTAAGTGACTGCTCCGCCCCAGGAGGGGGTGCTGGAGCACTCCTGACCCCCTGCAATGGGACACTGCCGCAGCCTCGGACACTGGCTGTCAGTCCCCTGCTTTGGGATCTGTGGCCCTTGGGGGGTGCCTGTGTTGGGGCTGGACCCCACTGAGCGAAGCCTACATGTCTGGGCAGAGGGGGCCCTTTCTGAACCGGTGCAGGGAGCGGGTGAGGTGGCACCGTGGGACACCCCGTAGCCCAGCAGTGCAGTGGGGCTGGGCAGGGGCACATCCCCGATCGGCTCGAGAAGGGCTGTGCTGGAGCCCATGGGCTTACTAGGGCCTCGGCCCTGGGCAGCAGACCCCCCAGCCCCCCCAGCCCTTCTCTGTGTCCCGGCTACAGCACAGATGCCAGAAGAGCGAGCTCAGGGAGCAGTGCCTGGGAGGCCCAGCTACAGAGCCTGATCCTGTCGGAATACGCCTCCACGGAGATGAGCCTCCATGCGCTCCACATGCATGAGGTGAGCGGCCTGTGCCCCAGGCCAGGGCTCAGACACCGGGGGCCGGGGCGGGAGAGGGCAGCTCGCGTGGGGGTCTGCCTGCCGAGGCAGGCTCGCAGCACGGGGGGGTGCAGGGCGGCCTGACAGCTGGAGAGAGGTGTGCTGTACCCGGGCGTAAGGGAGGCCCTGCAGAGACAGCCAGGCACATATCCTTCTCTGCGGTGCTCCCCGGCGCTGGCTGGCTCTGCAGGGCCCCACGTGCCATCCCGGAGCGCAGGAGAGCGAGGGCTAGTGCAGAACGGCCCCCATCCTGCACTGGAGTCGCAGAGGGAGCGGTGGGACCTGGCAGCGCAGGGGGAGGGGGAAGGAGCCAGCACCACTGTGGGGCTGCCACGGCGGCGGGGCCGCTTCGCCCTGGGCTCCTGCGGGCTGGATGTGGGGTGGGGCCGTGGCTCTGCCCCCCCCCGCTTGCCTGACCCCCCCCCGTCGTGTTGTGCGCAGTTACACAAGCAGCACACCCAGAGCGAGCCCGAGCGGCACGTCTGGCACCGGCGGGAGAGCGACGAGAGCGGGGAGAGTGCCCCGGAGGAGCCGGACGCGCAGAAGGGCGCCCCCGCCGCCATCCCCCGCTCTGCCAGCTACCCCTTCTCCTCGCCGCGCCAGGCTGTGGAGGAGTCAGCCACCCTTCAGACGGGCTTCCAGCGCCGGTACGGCGGCATCACAGGTACGTGCTGGGGCCGCTGGGCGCCACGGCTGGGGCGGCCTCGTGCTGTGGGACCTCCCTCCAGACAGGTCCCCACTCCAGGCGGAGCCTGGGAACCTCTCAGGATATTCCCTGGCCAGTTCGGAACGTGCCGTGGGTCCACGCACTGGCTTGTCATCGTTGGGTCATTGTTTAAATGCCAGCGAAGTGTTGGGAGATTCCCCTCCCCCCCCCCACGTGCCAGGAGATCAGCTGGGGCTGGTGGCTGGCAGGTGCCACTGGCTGGCAGTGTGTGTGTTGAGAGTGCCATGGGCTCCTGCCGTGATGTTCCCATGTCACCCTGCGTGCTTTGGGGAGGAGCCTCTACCGGGGGAGCTGTTGGCTCCCACCCAGTAACAGCCCCTCCCTCACTCGGGGGGTTGGAGAGATTGGCGTAGAGCCCCCGGACTGGTGTCCTGCTGGCACCAGAGCCTGTCTCACCCGCATCTACATGTTCTGCTGACTCTTCTGTGCCCATGCCGCAGATCCGGGCACAGTGCACAGAGCCCTTCGCACTTCTCCCGCCTGCCTCTCGGGGCTGGGCTGAGGACGGACAGTCGGTGCGACACCCGGAGCCGGTTCCAGAGGAGAGCTCAGAGGATGAGCTTCCGCCTCAGATACACAAGGTACAGCCCAGGTGCCCGCCCTGCCCGGCTCTGCTGGGGGGAGTGGTGTGTGCAGGGCATTGCTTACCCGGGTAGTGAATGCTGCCCTGACTGGGTGGGGCTGGGACTGTTGGCAGGCCGGTGGCGGTAACTCTCTCCCCAGGAGAAATTAAAAAGACGGGGACTTTTCAGCCTGAAAAAGAGCCAGCTAAGGGTGGCTCTGGTAGAGGTCTATAAGATCGTGACTGGTGTGAAGAAGGTGAATAGGGCAGTGTTGTTTACCCCTTCCCATAACACTAGAGCCTGGGGTCACCCAGTGACATTAACAGGCAGCAGATTTAAAACAAACAGAAGGAAGTATTTCTTCACACAACACACAGACAACCTGTGGAACTTCTTGCCAGGGGATGCTGTGAAGGCCAAAAGTATAACTGGGTTCAAAAAAGAACTAGATAAGTTCCTGGAGAATAGGTCCAGCAATGGCTACTAGCCAGGTTACTAGCCTGCTCTGGGTGTCCCTAAACCTCTGACTGCTAGAAGCTGGGAATGGGTGACAGGCTGGCTCATTCGATAATTGCTGAGTTCTGTTCATTCCCTCTGAAGCACCTGGCCCCGGCCCCTGTCAGAGGCAGAGCGCAGGGCTGGATGGCCACTGGCCTGACCCAGCATGACTCTCTCCTCCAGGTGTAGCTCTGGGGGCTGAGGATCGCATGGGACTCTGGACTCTGGAGCAGCCTGGGCAGCAGGACCTGGGGTCCCGACCCCCTCGCCTGTCCCCCAGAGGTGGGGCAGGCAGAGGTGCCTAGCGCTGGCGTTCATGCCCAAGGGACAGAACCACCACGTCAGCGCCTTGCAGTGGAAGCTTCTGTACAGACGTGTGTCAAGCCAACGTCACTCTGACTCGCGTTGGGTGAATGCGTGTGTGAGTACATACGTGTGTCCGTGTCCGCATATGTGTTGTCCGTGTGGGAGGGAATCGGCGAGAGCTGCACGGAGCACCGCAGAGCCTGCAAGAGGCCAGCGACCCACAGCTGGCAGGGGGAGCTCCGAGTTCCGGCTGCCGGCAGGAGAGGCTACGGTGGAGTCCCTGAGCAGAGCCAGCAACGCCTCTTCCACAGTCCAAATAAAGACCCACTTCAAGCTGCAGCCGGCCCGGCCCAGCCCAGGTTCCCACGGGGGAGGGACGCATCTGAATCTATTTTTGTAAGAAGGGTGGAGAGTTGGTTTCCCCCGAGGCCGAGTGGGCTGGAGTCCGACCCCTGCTGGGAGAGGGACTGGCTCAGGCTTTACAAGGCCGCGCCCTCCTCCAAAGCCCATGCAGCTGCGTGTGTTCTGGCCCCGAGCTGTCCTGTCTGTGGTGCAGGGGGCGCCAGGGTTCCTGGCTCAGTGCTCCCCCCCAAGTGATCCCACGCCCCATTTGCTGCTATTGTCCATGAGTCAAGGTGGCTGAACTCCTCTAGCCTCAGAGCGCAGACAGCCTGGCCAGCAGCAAAGTGAACCCCCGCGCTGCCCCTCCAGCATGTCAAAGCCCTGCTGTCTCGGGGCTAGAGGGGAGCTCCATCTCCAGGGCCTCTCTGCTGAACCTGCCGGCCAGCGGGCTGCTTCTCGTGCTGGCCCTGGCCCTCTGGGAACTACACCGAGCCCCCCTCTAGCAGCCTCCAGGGTGGGGAGAGGCACACTCCTCTGCCCCGGCCCCTCAGTCAACACTAACCTAGCAAGTCAAAGGAAAGAATCAGGTGACTAAAGTAGCTTTGCCCCCCCCCTTTTCCCCTCCCTGGTGCTATGGGGAAGCCCAGCCCAAGGGGAAGTCTGGCCTGGGCTCCTATCATCTGACAGGACCCCTTGCTGGTTAGCTGGGGCCACACTGTGCCTCTGAATGGTCCCTTGGCCAGGATCACTTCCCCCTCAGCAGGGTCCTGTTGCAGTGCCAGACAGTGGCTCCCATCCTGCTGCCAGGGGATCTCCTCTGGGCTGTCTCAGCTTTTCAGCTAGTCCCCCTGGCCCTGAGAGACCCTGAGCCCACGGGGCACCTCCAGTCCCATCTCCCCTTCCCGACTCGGAGCCGGGAGCCTCTGCCCAGTTCACTCGGCCTTCAGGTTCAGGGAGGTTCTGCTACACCTGGTCTGTCTGCCCAGTGTGGCCATCGCTGTGATTTCAGGGCTGCTGGTGCCCTCCCGGCTGGTGGCCCTGCAGACGCTATCCCAAGCTGGAGCTGACTGCGTGGAGCCGGCAGGCACCAGGCATCCAGTCTCCATGGCAGACCTGGGGCCAGGGGGCAGAGGCAAACCAGACCCCCCCACCATAGGTGGCTGGTGGGGTTGGGGGCTGTGCTGCCGCCTCCCTGCATGACCTCAGAGGTCCAGGGAACCCCCTCCCCACTACCAGAGTTCATTATAAATTATTAGCACAGGGGCGGCCAATCACGGCACGGGGAGGGGGAGGCTTCAGCCAATCAAGTACAGCTCTCCTAGGTTTTCTGAGTGACAGCGGCAGCTCCGGCTGATTGCTAACCCCTTCTCCCTGCACCCACAGCTGACAATCGCCCGCATGGCCCCCAGCCCCGCTCCTTCGGCCCCAGCCCAGGGGCGCCCTGCTCCCCAGCGCTGACCCCTCCTAAGAGCCCAACCGCTGCGCTCCCTGCCCGAGCCAGTGCTCGGGCTCGGCCCCATGGTGCTCTGCACTGTACCGCTGGGGGGCAGGACTCCTGGGTTCTCTCCCCAGCTCTGCCACTGGCCTGCTGTGTGATGTTGGGGCGGATCACTTGGCTGACTCTGTAAAGCAGGGCTGAGGAGGCTCCCCTGCGGCCCGGGCTGCTCTGGCAGCCTGCCTGTTGGGCAGAGCACTGACTTCTGGCCGTGGGGGGCTCTGCTGCCTGTTCCTTCAATACCCCCACCCAGTTCCTCTGACGGGGCTTGGGACCCCCTGCCTCTCTGTGGTGCAAGCCCTGAGCTTTACTAGCCCAGCGTACTGGTGCTTTACAGGTTTGATGAGGGACAAGGTGCTCCAGTGGCCTTTGAAACAGGGCAAGTCTCCAGCACACCATTGCCAGGCCAGCCCTCTCTGCCCTGGGGCCTAGACCAGACAGACCTCAGGCTCCCGGCCGGGTATGGACCCCTTCACAGCAGGGAACGCTCTCCTCGGCCAGGCATGGCCAGAGCGCAGCCCGCAGCGGTCTGGCCAGTGTGGCCCTGGCAGGGGCTGTGCACTCTGGGAAATGTAGTCTCCATGGGTCGCACCCCCGCATTAGTGGCTGCCCTCGGTCATGCTCTGTACATACTAGCTGGGCAGAGCTTGTCCCCCCCGCCGATGCGCTCAGCCCAGAGTGCCTGTTCTTAGAGCATCTCCAAGCCTGAGCTGCAGCCTCCCCCAGGAGAGCTCTGTGCCCCAGGGACGGCTGGGCCTTTCTGAAGGGGGCTGGCAGCTGCGGCTCCTAGAGGCGGGGGCAGGGAGGCAAGGCCTGGAGCAGCCGGAGAACCTTGCCATGTGCTGTGCTTGTATCTGTCCGTCTCCTGTGTGCCCGTGTGCATGGCAAGTTGCCCCCCCACCCCCCGTTCCACTTGTGACCCCAGCGGGGGGTGTGCGGGCACGGAGCTCTTTGGGAATGTGCTGGCTAGACAAGCTCGCGCACCTCGCTGTAGAGCCATTTAATAAAGAGGGGACATTTCATTCACGCCGGTGTCTGGGCCTGTGTTAAAGGGGAAGCTGCTCACTCTGTGTCCTGGGAATCCAGCCGGGGTGCTCATGGGGTGTTTGCCCCCAGTGCTGGAGCCCTGATCAAGCCCTGTGTGCCCCTGCAGGAACGGCCGAGAGCTGCAGCAACAGGGAGCAAAGGGTGGCTCTGACCTGCTGCCCTGGGCAGAAGAGCTAGAAACCCTGGCCCAGTCTGTGCCCTGGAGCCCAGCTTGGCTGCGGCCTGTCTTGTTCTCTCAGCCTGCTGCTTAGGGAAGGTTAGCAGGGCCTGGCTCGCCGCTGGCCCTGGGCCAGGCCAGACCACTTCCTGGGGCCCAACCAGTGCTCCTTACGCAGGCTGAGGCTGCTCTGCCAGGCGATTAAAACTGCAGCCCCCTCCCTCTTTCACTCCCTGGCAGCCTAGGCGTGCCCTAGTCCCTGCCAGGACACAAGCCGAGCCTGGATCATAGCACCTGCAGGGAGGAGCACTGCTGTGGGAAGGGGAGGGGGAAGGGCAGCCTCAGGGAGGCCACGTGGGGAAGGGAAGCCTGGCCCGGCCCAGCTTGGGGGCTCAAGGTACTGGAGTGGGTGCAGGGCACAACGGTCCCACTGAGGTGATGGGAGCCGCTCCCAGGAGGCTCTTGGGAACCCGGGTCCATGGGAGAGGCCTGTTAGCGCCTTCCTCACAGGCTGGCTGAGCTGGGTCCAGTGCAGTCAGTGGGGCGGGGGGGGGGGGGCTGCCGCTGGACTCCTGCAAAGGCCTGGCCTGGCGGAGGTGCTCTCAAGTAGGTTGTTTCTCGTTGGTCGAGCCAGCTGCTCTTGGAGGCAGAGATCTGTGTACCAGCAGCCTCCCTTCCTTGGGAAGCAATACGTGAGGACTGCAGGTTGTCACCGACCCGCGTGAGCAGGCCACAGCCCCAGCTTTGGAAGGGCTCAGGGAGACCCCATTCAGTGGGGCCAAACCCCCTAGGGGGTCTCTCCTCCAGGGGAAGCCACACAGCTTCATCAGCCCCTGGGGCTGGACCTCTGGTACTGCAGGCCCCCTGCTCCCCCCTATGAGCTCCGGGCAGGGCATCGAGTCCCACTCGACAGACCCCACCGGAGACTTGTCTGCTCTTCAGAGCCTAATGCACCTCGCCCGGCGTCTGCAAGGGGGTCAGCCGTTCCCCGGACCCAGCACAGGGAGGCCTTGGGTAGCCCCCCTGGAATGAAGGCTAAAGCAGGGTCCATGCTGGTCGCCCAGAGTCCAGCCACATTGTAGTGAATCCCATTGTTCAAGTTCCATCGGTCTCGGTCTGACCTCCTTGGCCAGACACCTCGGTGCATGGGCCCCCTGGCAAGCGTCCGGGGGGGCTCAGCTCGCAGAGTGACAAGCACCAGCCAGGAGCCACAAGCTAACTAAGAGACATACCAATGACCTGCCCTCCTGCGAGGAGGTACAGAGTCCCCCGGGTGATGCTCTGGAACTGCTCCCCAGGAAGCCAGGCAGGACTCTGGGGAAGTCTCCTCTCGGGGAGCAGCCTGTCTACCAGGACACACAGCTCACCCGGCTTCCACCTTCCTGGGTCCGACCTCGGAGCATTCAGCATCCTCTGCCTCTCCATGCACTTCCCACAGCGAGTCCGCCCAGGCGGGGTCCTGGGGAAGCCAGAGGGTCCTGCCCCCCAACTCCACAGGCAGATGTGATTCTCAGCCAGCCAGTAACACAGAGGTTTATTAGACGACCAGGAACATGGTCTAACACAGAGCTTGTAGGTGCAGAGAACAGGACCCCTCAGCTGGGTCCATTTTGGGGGCAGTGAGCCAGACAACCACGTCTGCACTTCACTCCATGTCCCCAGCCAGCCCCAAACTGAAACTGTCTCCAGCCCCTCCTCCTCTGGGCTTTGTCCCCTTCCCCAGCCAGGAGGTCACCGGATTCCTTTGTTCTCCAACCCTTTAGCCTCACCTTGCAGGGAGGAAGGGCCAGGCCATCGGTGGCCAGGAAACAGGGTGTCGGCCATTCTCTGTGTCCAGACCCCTTCACACCTGCCCTCTAGGGCTCTGCAAGGATCATACACCCTTACCCCACCCCCTAGATACTTAAGAACTGCCTAGGGGAAACTGAGGGCCCCCCACACTATTCAGAGGGAAATTTTAACAGTCCCACTGCGTCACACCTCCTTTTGCTCTTGTTTTTATTACACCGCCCAATGCAGAGGTATTAACCCACCTGCGTTCTCCACCCTGCCCCTCAGCGCCACAGCAAGGGGGCGGTGTCATGGTTAAAAACACACCCCCACAAAGCCGCCACGAACAGCACATTCGGTGAGTGTCAAGGTCAAGCCCACGAAAGTGAGGAGATGGCAGAGAATCAGCTGCCCGCGCAGTCGTAAGTCCCCTTGCGTGTCCCACCTGGGCACGGAATGGGGCAGGGCCTACAGACCAAATATGAACTGCTGGGGGTGTTAGACAATGTCCGGTGCTTCTGCACCAGGGCAGTTCTCCGTAAGGGAAAGGATCGGGCACCAATGTAATGTCCTGCCAGCTCCGGTACTATTCATCGCTGCTCAGAGGAGATAGGGATCATGCCGTATAATGCCTGCAAAGGGCTAAGTAAACCCAAATCCCCTCCCTGCGTCCTGCTGACAGGGGGAGGCCTCAGACTGAGCTTTCTTTTCAGGGTGACCTCGGCTTCCCCTCTTTCCACCAGGGCTGAAGGGTGGAAGTAGACGAGTCAGTTTCACAGTGGTCCCTGTCAATGTCTGGTCAGTATCAATTTCCAGTCACCCCCCCCAGGAGAGGGATTTGTTTCTGTGCTTTCCTCCCTCCCAGAAGGGGAGGGCCGGGTTGCTTAAGGTCACTGAGCATCTTTGCAAATCAGACCCTTCCTGCCTCGATGTCCCAATGCTGGACATTTTGGGCATTCAGCGGGGACGCCGCGGGGTGGGGTCTAGGGGCTGAGAGGAGGGGTGGGTCTGGTTTCCAGGCTGGTCTCATTACTGATTCCCCATGCTCCTAGGGAGGAGAGCCTGGACTTTGCCTCCGCGCGGCCCAAGGTGTGTCAGTGTCATGTGACCAGGATTCCCTCGTTTGCAGGTCCAGGGCACGACACGCTGTAGTGGCCCCACGCAGGAGGATTCCCAAGTCCGAGGCATGGCTGCTTGGCACACAACCCTCTCGACACGAAGTCCCTTGTCCCTAAACGAGACACAGACTGCAGCATGCCCTGGGCCTGCCATGCAGGGGCAGGGCAGCCATATATACCCTGGCAGAGAGCCCGGCAGGCGGCTGGATGCCTCCTGCCCTAGGTGACCTTTCTCCGGGAGGTGTGTGGGTCCTGCTCACTCACCCTGCGGCGGGGC